AAATGCTGGATCGTGTCAAATATGTGAATGATGAACTGTGCCAAATGGAATCACAAATCTTTCTTCCCCGAGGAGGCCAAACTAACAGAACTCTTTATCGTCACCATGTTCTATTTTTCCGAGATGAATGTGACTACAATCCAACTTTTCTGTCTTTCTATCAGCCGTGCTGAATCGGTTGACACATTGAATCGTGGGGGTTGTGAAGGACTGCTTCGTGCTGCTCAACGTCTGGCGACCGCGACAGTTCCCTATCCTCAGTCAGCACTCACGAACGGTTTCACTGCTCCTCGTGGTTCGAACCTGTTCAATTACCTGACCAATCCGAACACACCACCCTCTGTCCTTGTCTGTGTCTGTCAACTGTTGGTTGCGCTGGAACTTACCGTTGAAGTCAATTTGGTTGTTCGTGCTTTGTGTGAGTTTTAAAGCTTTGTTAGGAAAAAGTTTCTCTATTCGCAACAACTGAGGCCATAAAATCGCCAAATTCTTCTCTGTAACGAGAAACTTTATGAGCTGTGGTCACCAACCTGTTGGTTAGTCGGTTAAGAGAATTTTCTTTGAATGAGTTTGGTTTGTTCATCAGTGACGGTTTTGTTAATCCGTGGCACACGACACAGGCTGTCCTACTGCCAGTCTTGCGAGCGATTTCTTGTATCTACGCGCCCTTGATGAAGTCAGTCCCACACGCTGCTCGGAGTCTGTCTGGCCATTGTACTGTTGATTGACTCCGGTACATGTCATTATCATATAAGTTAGCCCCAGTGTTTCACCAAGTCGCCTTCGTTCGATCACCGTTCGACCAACGGATCATTCGAAGCTGTTACAGCGTGTTTATCTTGTCGTTCGACCCGTACCAATGTTATCCAAGTGACAGGGGGATAATCGAGGGCTTAGCTCACGTAATATGTCCACGGGTCCCACAACCCGGACAAATAATTTAAGACTCTGATAACTCTGGTAATTTGCTCTGGAAGGGACTGCAAGACATCCGAGCGGATCATTGCAAGTCCGGCAACCTGTGACTTCACGACAACAGGTTTAGTCGAACATGTCAATAAATAGCAATGGATAGTCCGAAAACTCAAAGGAGTTTTGTGCTAATATCTATCACATAATTCTCCGTTTTCTAACGTAGCTGTATGCCGATTTCCTAATCCGTACAAAATTGTGAAAGCGCTCAGGACATTGTGGGCAGTCCGCCAATGTCGGTGCTACAGGCTACTTTGCTTTTTATAAGTAGTTAGATCTCAATAAAATGCCGAAACCCTGAATCCTTTGTTATCATCACGCGTAACAAACTTGTGGTAACCAAGTGGGATTGTCACAGCAATTTCACATGACTGTAAATCTCAACCAAAGCCATGTGACAAATTTAGTTCCCAGTGATCGCGTCACACCTGAACCAAAACTGCTATTTTGTTGACCGTTGCCAACTTCATGTGAAATGAAACATGTTGGGAGCTGTTGTCTTTTGTTACACGGGGCCGTAAAATGTCCTGCCGAAAATAATCGATACCCCCAAGAGACCCTAAATAGCAATCTGTCGAACTATGGTTAGTATTTACTGCTGACTGAGCAGTTGTCCGATGCACATCCGCCTCGATTCTGATTCTGCGGAATTTATTTTGATTTCAGTTCACCTATGTTCGGCTTCCTATACTGATCATCCGGAACAGGATTCGTCAATCGCTCCAGCTTTTTTATTCTTTCCACTATTGGAGGAATATGAGGTGGGTCGGAATGCTCGGCTTCTTGGTTCTTCTACCTCATCTATACCGCCCTTGATGGGGTTGACAGTGTCGTCATCATCTTCGCACACGCATTCGTTGCTAGTCGACCAGTTGTTGCCGCGAGTATGGACCTCGGTTGTGGAAAGTCCTACGTGCTGCATTACATTACGGAGCTTGTTGTGGCTGGTGCAACGTGAGAAGGTACTGACTTCTAATCGCTTTACGACCGCATGTTTGTTGACGGCACTTGCAAGTCAGCTGGTCCCGATGCTCAAGCTGATGTGTGCCACAGATGATAAAACGGTTAGTCATAACGGTTGTTTTTGGATTTTAACTCATTGCTTGTTCACCGGGGTGCTTTTGTTGTCAGTTATTTGTACGATATGCGTATCACAAACCGCCTTCTGCAGACTTGTTCTTGAAGTTGGCTCTTTTTGTCGCAAACCACACCGTAAGAATGATCATGAGGCGACATCCTTCAATGTGGCTCGCTTTTACGTATGTATATTTTCCAACTTGGACTTCATGCTTATGTAGCTGCTGAGCGTCTGTTTCTCAATTCACAGATCCTCTCTAAGTATCCCACGAAATTTCCAAATGGTTAGTTAAAAACGCAAGTGACGAGAGATGGGACGAGATAGTTCAAGTGGTTAGAGTGCGAATTTACTGACCAGAAGGTCCGTGGTTCCAACCCCACCTTTGCCTCCCGACTTCCCTGTCTAGGTTTGGGCAACCTGGCAGTATCCCAGCCCTCGTGCAACCTTCGGGTGGCATGGCATCTAGGCACCGGAAGGGTGTTACAGCTGAACGATTCACTTTTTACGGGAGTGTAATGCTAATATAAGACCCGTATGGAACTGACTTTCAGACCATCTACCACACGTCAGAATTGTGATCCTGTTATCCGTTTAGTCATGCTGAATGTACATGCCATCCTGTGTTATTTCCGTGCTGACTATTTTGCAACACAACCGACGTTATCGTTTCCCGATTAATTTTCTGTTTCTCTGCCAAAGTCATCTCCGGAACGCACCACCTGTACTCCTAGAAACGGCCGGTTTGGTTTCAACTAATGTTATTTAGTTAGTAAAAACCAACCAATATTCATAGTTCTGACCATAAGCTGCCATCTTGACGTAGCGGTCCGGCTTAACTGCTGCAGTTGTTCTCGCTAGCTGCACTGGTTGGGAATTTGTTTTGCAAAGGGAAACTATGCCAGCAAGGCCAAACGGGGCAGTCTGGGTAAGAGCGGTAAGCCCCCGGCCTACAGGTAGGTCTCACTACATGGCAGTCTGGGGTTAATAGCACTATGTGTGAAGGGTTAGTGTTTCCTCCAGGTGGCTAGCACGCCCACATTTTTGAAAGCAGCGTTTCTATCTTTTTTTGAATAAAGCACGTACTAGAAAAGATTGACCTTGCAAACCGCTTACTCAGATTGCTCAGAGGTTGATCATGACCACCGGCAGGTTGCCGAAATACAATTAAGGCCGAGGCATATTTGACCTCAGACGCGTTTGTTGTATGCAGCAGCCTCAGGCCAGTTCCCTAGAACCTGCTGAATAATCGAATTCAGGTTTCCACATCAAACTGTACTCCTTGTTGCCTCGTGGGCCACAATTCAGGCTAGAAGGAAGCTCTCGAACAAATCACTTCCTCATCCCTTTGTTTTAGGGGTGTTTCCTCAAGGTAGGACACACCTTAACCAATCCTCTTGCTTTCTCTGGGCAACCGGGAAGCATCGTTCGCCCTCACAGCTACTTGATAACCAATGCCCCTTTTAAATTTCCCTCTATGCTACAAGCAGACGTCGCCGTATTGTTATATTGCCAGCAACGGGATTGATGTGCTTTACCCAATCCACCGATTTTTAACACCAACCAAACAACACCTTAATAAATCCACGAGATTGGTTCTGCATAGAAGCTTTCAACGTCCGTACAAATTGCCGAACTGACACTTACCACTCGGACCTTGTACTGTTTGAAACCGGACACAAACTGTATATCTAAAACACACGTACAAGGCTCGTTTTGGCCGTGCGCCATAATGCATCCAGATCGAGCTGAACTTTTTCACATTCTACCCTCCGTATGTCTGGTGACCCTGAAGCAATGGCTCATGGTGGTGCATGTGGCTTGGGAGCTACACCCGGCCTCAGGGCTGAGCGCACTTTGTTATAACAATGAACAGTCATATTTGAGCCGCTCGCTTGTTCATCTCAATCAAACGCAGTACCAGGTGACATAAAAACTGATGCGCCAAATGAGTGCAGTTCTGACGTTGAGAAAGACACTTTCTACGGAGGTTTATCTGGACCGATTGGTTATCATTAGTAGCATAACACCAGTGTTCAACGCTGTTCCTTCGCTACCGTGCAACCGTAATTTTACTTGAAGGCCTCATTGTGAATAACAGAATAAAAGTGAATGGGTAAAGAACCACAATCATTCCGAGATACCTACACCTCATTCAGGCAATCTGGATAGAAATTGGCAACATTGAAGTCGATTAGCAGCCTTATATTACAGCGTCTCCAACCAGGTGGTTCCCACCCTGCACGCACATTAGCGATACAATTCGTGACAGCATTACGATTGGTGGTTTTGAGTTGAGCATCCCGGATTGTGTCATATTTGGCCAGAGAGGAGGGCAAACCGTGGTGCCAACCGTATTTCCGGGATAGTGTCTTCCACCGGTGAATGCGATAGGTGCACCAATCTTCAAGGTGCCCGGTGCAGAAATACTATCCACGTAAACACTCCGTCTCCATCCGGAAGAACAGTTGCTGGACTACTTAATGAAGAGGAAGAACAAAAACTGGACACTTATTCAGCTGTTGAAACTTACTGTGCACATTTTTATCAGAGATCGTTCGTAAATAAGAGTATTGTGTCTAGCGATGGCATAGTTCTGGTGTTACTTTATCCTAGAGCACTGGTGAGTTCAAACTACATCACTCAGGGTGTGGTTGAGTAATCTTCGTTAGATGGCGTCCTGTATCATCTGGGAAGTTGTGTCACTGGCATTCTGCCGGCGGTTCAATGAATAATTTCTCCACCATCTGCACTCCCAGATATTCAGTCAGTCAGTTTTCATGCTAACTGCGCTCCCTGATCCACCTGTTGCCTAATTTCATTTTCTAATTCTATCTACAGGCGATTGATTTACTGTTGGCTCTCTTTGAAGAGGCAACTGCTTTAGTGATTGGCCAAAGACCATCTCCACGTCATCCGTGTCCACAACCCGGACTGACGTTGTCTGTTTCAGAGTGCATTTCTGTCGGAAGACTGACAGTTCAGTTGGCACGGACTCTGCTCAAGCAATCTACACTCTGTGTCTCCACGCCAGATGAACTTGCCCGGTCGATACAACTGTTCCAACGCTTGCAGGACGTGCTGACGGATTTAGCCGGTCGTTATCCTCTACTGCGTTCCACCGCGCTCCGATGTGCCACCACAGCCAACTCATTCGCCGAAGTGGGTGGTTTTTCTTCAGACCGTTTTTGGTGATTTTGTTTACAAGCTTCCTTTTTGCGCCACTGGTCTCTTGCTTTAACTGTATCCACGGATGTGCAGACCTGTTATACCTATCCTGCCTGTGTACCTCGACTCATCAGTTTTAGATCTCTTAGGTCCTATCCCTTTTTGTAAAGAAAATATGGTGTTCTAAAGCTTTGGAACGCCCAGCTGTAATACAGTAAGGCTTTCAGTCGTGGTTACAATCCAAGTGTACGCAAACAAATCGCATCTTCATAGTTCCGCGTGCGCATGGTCTACTGTACCCTGTTCATTGACCTTATACAACTGCGCACAGCACATGGAAGTGTGAAACCGTATAGCCCTTTACAATACGGCGACGTCGCCCACACGACTGAATTCGCTTGGATTTTAACAGGTCACAAACAATATTAGGATGATGTACAATTAACGGAGACCGAGGCTCATTTGTGTAAAATCGTGCCCCTTTAGCTTTATCGCTGTGTTATACTTTTCGCAAATAATATCTGGTAAATCCCTTCGGGCAACTCATGCGTAAAATGTACCTTTTGTCGAAGACTGTGACCACTTCTGCACTAATCCAGTGAACTAATGCCCCTCCGAGGAATGGCAAACCTTTTTAGAGGCTGAAGCATTGTAAGTCACTATCTAGTGCGTCTTCCTATCAAGAAAGTCTACCTTCTACTAGAAATCAAACACCTTTCATGATGTATTCTTTTAGTTTTGTTATTGTACTGAATCTTCAGTACATGCTGTTCGTGAAAAAATATTCGATTAATGCAATTGTCGGTCCCTTTCATCCCTCACAACGAAGACACTTGGCGTCCAAGAATGTAACAAAATATCAAAGACTAGACCAAACGTGGTCTCCTCTCTCAGTGGGCGCCCATGTACTGCGGAGGTCTCAAACGCAACGCACCTTCCACTAACGACTTTTTTATCGGATATGAACGAATGGCTGGAAGAAAATTCATCTATACCCTTCAGTCGGAACAAAATAATTCTCAAATATTTCGATTAGGAGTACCTGCTGGCTACGAGGCCCAGAGCTACCCTGTTGTCCGTTTTTACATACTACTGGCGGCAATGATAGTAGGATGCAAAAATAGCGTTTTTCATCATTTGAACAACGGCGAACATGCATCCCTCGCTTATTTCATTGATTGTTGTTTGTCCTAATTTCCATTCGATAGTCCGCGTTCATGCACCACTTCTATGATTTATTCTTGACAGGTATGTGGAACCAAATCCGGTGATTTGACTGCCTTTGTTTCCCCGACGCGAAACTCCGCCTCTGTTCGTTCATTTGACTGGCGCACACTGGTTACTCCTAACTGCTTGCCGGATATAGTGCTAGATTCAACTAAACGAGGCGCATGCTTTTCAGTAGATGGTGATGATGCCAACGTCAGTAGTTTGCTTCTGTCCAACCCTCCACCGGATGGTGCTCTGCACACTGGCCCGGCCAACGACAGCCTAGCTAGAGGCCAACTGCGAAGGCGAGTGAGAACTGCAGATCAAACGGAAGACTTCAAGCGTCCTCCCGGGACTAATTTTAGTGGCTCTGGGAATTCTGAAGGCCCCACACAAAACACAGGTGATAATACTTTCTGCTCGCTGTGCCTTTCATTAGGCTGGTGGTTTCTTGAAAATAAGCCAGTCACCCCGCTACAATTTCTATGAGGTGTATTATGTTTTTGGCGGCAGATCACCACAGTGTTCACCCCAGTTTAGCGCTCATCATTTTGACGCAGTTCTCAGATTTTCTGGCATTCTTTTTTATTCGTGCGCAAGACTGTTTGCGGGTTGAATAACTTGATTACTTCACCTGACCGACAGTAGGTCCTCGTCCAGTCTTAGTCACTTTCTGAGTTGAATCATATTACACATGCAGTAAAGGCTTGTTCAAATCTGCTGTTCCCATCAGCCTGTGACTTGCGGATGAATGATTTTCTCCGCACTTCTCTTATACTCTGGGTTTGATTCATTCTCAGAAAACAAGTCGAGCACAGTGTATCTACTCTTGTGGACGATCAATAGATTTGCACGGTAGAATAATCCGGTGGGAATGACAGGAATGCAAATACAATATAAAAATCCGTACAACCACTCTCAATTGTACTACGTGTCTTCTTTTCTGTTTGAACAAACGAATCAACCGGACTTTAGTATTCACTTGTCAATTTGAAAGATAGATATTGGTGCATATTGTTGATCAAAGATCTCTCTTTGACCGCAATGTACTTATCTAAAAGTAATGGAATTTTCACCGAGTACACTTACTTGCACACTAATTTGGTTTTGAAAGGAGGCTCGGTTGAATCCAGCTGAATCTTTCGTCGAGACCAAATTGGTGTGCAAATGGGTGTAGAAGACGAATTGCGTCCAATTTCGGCTCAAGTTAACAGGAACCTGGGGACTGTACTTACCTGATGGACCCCAAAGGGAGCGAAACCGGTCGTGGGTTGTCGAGGATTTCTTAGGTACACGAATCAGTTTCTTACCTGATGGCCCCAAAGGGAGCGAACCCGGTCGTGGGGTTGTCGAGATTTCTTAGGTACACGAATCAGTTTTCCTAGGTCCCCTTCTCTGGCTCTGTTTGGGCACTCCAAGTTCGCACCAGTCAGCGGAACCTTCCGAGGTCAGCTGCACTTTGTTCTTATCTTACAACAGCATTGAACGTCCCTTTTCTTCTTCCCATCTGAACAAAAATCCACTTTTTTAGTCGCTTGAAGACAACCGGAAGTTGATCGAAAAGCCATCGCTTAAGAACGGTTTCTTTTGAATTTAATGCTGCAGAACGGAATTGACTTAATAGCTCGATCGAGGTCGCATACTGTCTTAGTGTTCTGCATCGACAAGCCTGTTATTGTTGTAGAAAAGTGCTGACAAGGTTGTCCTCGTTTCGAGACAAAATGTTGGGAACAAATTGTTCTAACATCTCCTAATGTACTGGCAACGTCCGGTGGTTTTGTGACCGTGTCACTTCTTTTATCTTTTAGTTTGTATGAGTCATCTTCATCGAACTTATGGGTCTATCTCCTGACGGACCAAAAATCAATAGGGGGCAGGGTTATTGCGAAAATGATGAATGACCCACCAATTCACTTTGAGAAACATCCTCTTTCAGTAAAGCTGTCTTGTCACTGATCATCTTGATCTCAACATTCAGACTCGTATTTTCTTCCAAGTGAACCAGAATCAGTCGTTAAGTGAACGTTCGTTGTCTCTTGATCCGAACCCGTACCCTCTTTACCCATTCTTTATTATAGTTTGGCATCCAGTCCATCTCCATTGGCTACGTCTGATTGATCGATTGAGTGGAGAGTTTAATACCAAGATGGTTAGTTGTACCACAAAGACTAAAGAACATACGACTGGGACTGTTCGACACTTTTCTCATTTGGTAGGCAACGGGTTGCAAAACTTGCTGCTACCTCATGGCGCCTATTTACCACAGACGACGATTGCTCACTTACCCAATCCATTGGCTCTTGTTTTGGCACCGAGTGGAATCGGTTTGGAGCGTGTCATCGGACTGTTGCACTGCTTTTGTCCGGAGGTGAAGTCGCATGCAATCGGACAGTATGGACCAGACAACTTGGCCACCAGAACACGTGCAGCAACACGGTTGCTTGAGAATTCACTTTTCCATGTGTTACATACTGAGGAGCATGTTCAGAAGCATGAAACTAATCGGTCAGGCAATGATCTCCCGGCTACCGCTTGTGATGGTAAGTTGCTGGTAGGATTGGACCGCTCTAACGTTTGTTTTGTTTGGCTCCTTTGAACAAGACGACGTATGACTGTGGCCTGGAAAAGTTGCTCATTCTTCCGAACGAAGGCGAATTGAAGTGTCGTAGAACCCTTTTCCAAATGACTGACATGCGACCCGTAGAAATGGCAAGGATTGACGGCTGCCAGTTTACCAGACCTAGGCAGTCAAGAATCCAGAGGTGCATTCGAACCGCAGACTCCCTGGTCAACAGATTTTCAGTTTATGGACCCGTACACGACTGGCTGAGAAAGTCTTTCATATAGAAGACGGTTCTGTAAGGTGTATATCGCAAGTTACTAGTTTATTGCAGTTCGGAATTCACAGGGAAACCCGGTTCCGATTCACTCGTTCAGGAGTGCGTCTGAGGTACTCCGTTCATCCCTCGATATTTCGAAGCCTCCCTCAACAGAACCCCCCCCCCCCGACTGAGAAACCATCGGTTAATGCATCAACATAATGGGCTGAAATAGCTACTGCAACTTCTTGTCATCTGGGTCACTGCTAACGATCCACCCGTAGGTTGCCTAACTGTAATAACGCGATAATGGTTGTTCAGCTGTAATACGTTTTCCTTGCCCAGCTGGCGTGCCATTCAAAGGAAAGACCGAGATATTCCCACGTTGCGTAAGGCTACACATCAGCAGCCGAGAGGCATAGGCATGGTTCGAAATACCCGTCAGTAAGTTCGCCCGTTAACCATGGAGCTCTCTCAAGCCGTGTTCTTGTCAACGGCAGCCGCTCCTTGAGGGCACCAAAATCGGTCGCACTAGGTAGTAGGTGATTACCAGTCCTACCCATATTCCACCTCCGTTTGGACAAATCTTATGCAGTGTATGGGAGGGGCTGTTTTTTCTCGACCACAGCCCACAGGAATTTGCGGCTTCTTCCTAATCAATTGTGTAAACGCTGCCAAAAAGTCAACGGCAAATCGATTATATAAAGAGCTTAGGTCTGGAAAGGAAACAACACAAGCTTACCAGCAGTTTTTAGCTGCAATATTTCCGTGAGATCATGGGAAACACGAACAGCTTTGGACGTCATACCGTTCCGTAACCCTAAACTAGCGAGTCACTTCTCAGTTTCGTGCTGTTAACCTGAGCGAATGAACCGCCTGGTGTTTGATCGATCCAAGGCAGCCCATTCATGATAAAAACCAGAACCCTGTTTGGACGAGTAAGTTTGTAAACGCTGCCAAATAGTCAACGGCAAATCGATTATATAAAGAGCTTAGGTCTGGAAAGGAAACAACACAAGCTTACCAGCAGTTTTTAGCTGCAATATTTCCGTGAGATCATGGGAAACACGAACAACTTTGGACGTCATACCGTTCCGTAACCCTAAACTAGCGAGTCACTTCTCAGTTTCGTGCTGTTAACCTGAGCGAATGAACCGCCTGGTGTTTGATCGATCCAAGGCAGCCCATTCATGATAAAAACCAGAACCCTGTTTGGACGAGTAAGTTATTTACAAACGTACAAACTTGGTTGTGGAAACAAATATGCCAAATATACCAACTGTCACCGGTTTAAAGACTTACCTTTACTCTTTCAACTGTAGTTTTATTGTCCCTAACACTCAGCACCGATTTCGTTGAACGTCTTCATTGTATCAGACCCCTTCTTGACGATGATCGACAAGCAAGAATCACTATTCCCCTCGCCTAAAGTGCTTCTCGGATTGTTGATGGGGCTCGAGGCCATCTGGGCTGGCCCTTTGGCGCCGAAAATCTCCCTTTCGGATGCTTTGGCCTACTTTTCCGCCAACGAAGGCATGTATGCTCAGGGAATCTTCCCAATCAAGTGGTCGCCCGAAGTTTGCTTGGCTCAAGCGAGACGGGTACGTTTCTCCTAACCACGCTTTGTTTCCTCTCATCGTGCTGGCTCCCATCCCCAACTGTGTTCAGATTGGCCGTTGCCTAAAGTAGGTTGCTTTCATTTCGAGGATGCGTACCGTCACAAGTGAACTGTTCATTTCATGGACACCAGCGTACACATCCTGGCCAAGTCTATATGACCCCTGACTGATATTCCCATTTTAACACTAGCATACCTGGGCTAAGCAGTCAGTATCTTTCCGAACAGGCTATCTGCTCCCCTTGTAACCGAACCTGCTTGAATGTTTTCCGGGTTGGAGATTAAGCGATACTTCACTACCTCGCAACGGAAAGCTGACGAGCTCGTTTACACGTAATACTTCTTTTTTTGTGCGGTTGTCCTTCGTTGCACCTTGCCGCTTCTATCAATTACCCCACAGGTGGAATGAACTAAGGTTCAGTGTTTGTTGCAACGTTTCTCTGCATTTCACATGCCGTACTTAATTCCTCTGAGTCACTGAGATTAGCCCTGTGATAGTGCACTATTCTGAACTCTATGCCCACTGGAATCGTCTGGAGAGATAGAGCGCCCAGCATGACTGCCCATTGAGGACGGAACATAACAGCGCAATGTTGCATGATATTCTGGATTTATTCTACTGTGTCTCATCAGGTGTGTACCTCAAGTGAGTTGAAATGGGGGAAACTACCTTGCCAAAGGTTCACTCTCGAGTCTACGGAGCGAAAGACCGTCTCTGTTTACGTGGATCCGGCTCCCATTTGCGAGTAGCAATGGCCTGTGCAAACCTCATAACTTTGCCGTTTGCCGTACTGAACATGGTATCTAGTAGCTTACTCGATTGACGTAATGCTTGCACTCACTCAGGTGACTGTGAGGCTTTTTGGCTTCGGTTTTCTATTGCTGAACAACCATGTCAAACTGACATGGGCGGATGCGTTAACCAAAGTATTTAGCAGCTTAGTGCATTCCTAGTTCCAAATTATTGGTTGCGAAGATTGAGGAAAACAGCCTGAAACCGTTACCAATAGGATCACATGATCGGTATCTCCATGCCCCCGGCATTATGAGCCCCAATATGGACGGAAGATTTCGTGTGGCTGAACCATGCGGTATCTCACTGCACTCACTGTTCTGCGTAGGATTTATATTGACCACTGACTTCGGTTGTCCTCACCTCACGGTTAACTCAGCTTGCTTGCTAATGACCTACATGCACTCAAGGCCCATGAGTACTTCAGCCCAAATTTTGTTACACTGGCCCCACTCTGGAGAGTTTAACTTTCCCTGTTTCCTCGATGGCTTGCACATTCAGTGGCTTCGTGGACGGGCAACTTCCTAAGACATGTTTTGGTCGAATTCGCTCTCAGAATGGTCTGGAATACACGAGCTCTGCTGGCCGATTGGTTGATCAGTTCTCAATCGTTCTTCGTCACAAGTTCGGCTCCTGGACAGCTCAACCCAAATGCTCGTCATGCGCATCTCTGACCCATACTATAGCCACCTGTATATTATGTAATGGGGGTGAGATAGTGACAAGTAGGGTCATCGGTTGTAATAGGCATCCGATTCTTTCCTATCTCGTTCCGCTCTACTGGAAATGATTGCTTTCCCAGTGTCTTGTTCAGCCTAACCTAACAAGGCGGAACACAAACAATTAAACCGGAGATGCCGTTGGATTACCGTTATTCTCTTCGAAGTGTCCTATAATTTTGGAAAACGCAGAACATCTTGTTTTTTTTAGGGGGGGATGCCGCAATGTATGAGGAATCGGCCCCTGACCTAGAAGCATTAGACGGGTGTAACAAGATTTGATAAGTCAGCCACCCACTTCGTGTGTGATTCAATCAGACTTTACTTGATTTAGTACATGCTTCGGATCCGTCAATCGTATTGCATGTTTCTAACGAGTTTGTCAAACAATCGGGGTCAAAACTTCCGAACTTAGACCGTGGGCGTATTTCGAATATGTCCGAATTCGTCAAGTTGTGTTGCTTAGGTAGCGGGATCGACCAGCCACTGAAATTGATTTTAACTGCGTAAATTCGCTCGTTGTCTGATGCGTAGATATCCTTGCTGCCGTTCGGAGTGTTTCATCTCACCTTCCTGGTGGGTTTGAACGCTTCTTTGAGCTGTCCCAGACACCTGACAGTTTATCAGTAGGCTCAGGAAAGCAATCGTTCACTAATGTTGATTACTTGTGCAGTTATGCCCCACTGAGAGAAACAGTTCCTTAATTTTCCCACCACATGACTGTCTCACCAGTTGAATACTTTAGGGAACTCGTACGGTCTTGTGCATCAAACAGTTTTTATTTCTAAGGGACTGCTTATAGATAAATGGGTGGCGTTGCTATGGCAACTCCATTATGTCCAACTTCGGCTGGTAATTCTTCCGTGATAATATCTTAATTGCTTGTCTGCGTATACTGTATATCGTAACTCTACTTTTTGCTATTATGAACACTGTACACTCCAGTTTACTCTGATTTGGTCAGTTTGAAGCGAATGAGAATTTTATCCTTTTTTTCACGACTCGACGTATGGGTTGGGTTTTAACGTACAGTTCATTTTGGAGGCACGTGGAGTGTGCACCTCCATAGTTCCTCGAGGATTGCCTATAAGCGAGGTTCAGTAAAACATGTTTTTGCACAGAGGGAAATACGCACATCCCGGGCTAAATAGCTAAAGAAGAATCACCCTCAGAAGTGACGGTGATCACCGGGAGAGATTCACTACTCTTCGCAGTGATTCAAAAACGTGTTTAACAGGATTAGTTCTGCTGCTTGAAAAAAAAGGTTGTTTATGGGCCACCGCCATGCAACCAACATACAAACGTGTTCCAGCTGCTTAGTCACAATTGCTCTGTGTGTATCCAAGCTTATGACTAGTCCCCCCATCGGACACATTTACCAGTGTTAGTCACCTGGGTAGGACGGACCAGTGTCTTTCAACGGATATTGAAGCATTTCCTGAAAGCTTCGATACGAGTAATACGGCTGGCAAGCAACAGTTCACTTACGATGACGCGTAACCGGATACCATCGACTGCAAGACGTATTTCTGGAGCATCGACGATTCTCGAATCTTCGAGGATGTGCTGCAGGTCTGTTGTACAACGCTGTTAATCAAGTCACGGGCATGAGCAATGTCCTCACAAAATTTATTTATTCAGGTCGTCTGTTCACCCGCGAAATGATCCATCACGACCGTTCCTATATGGCCTAATGTTACTTTCAGTGGTTATTGTTCATTTGATCTTCGAATTTGTGAAACGCCATCTTCCAGCAACTTGTATTGATGGTGTCAAAGGGCTCCGAAGAGAGTGTGGAGCACCTTGGATCTAATGATGAAGAGTGATTACCTCAGACATTTTAACTTCAGTTGTATCCATCCACTCCTATTCAGAACTACCGGATAGTTCCAATAAGATGTTGCGAATAATCTCTTGTTGATAGGATGCTCCTTTTAAGGTGAAAAGAGAACCTCTTGTCGGCCTACTCCTAGGTTTCGGTTCATCAGGTAGGCGTAGTCCTTGAATTCCCTTCAATTCCATTTCGTAATCCAATACCGAGTCAAATGTGTGGCTCAAGTGAGATTGCTATAGTGTGAGACATAGATGAATCTCCTGTTCATGAAATCCTCTCTAGGAGACAGACAAATACTCAAGTGGAATCAGGGACAAGCGGAAGGGAGTATTCGGCGAGTATGAAACGGATATTGGAAAGAAATTGAAAACATTTTCTCATCTACGATATATAAACTACCCAAATGATAAGGTGTAGTTTCACAGACCAGTATCACACGGGTTTATACGTTTTGATCAGCTACTGCTCTGGGTTAGGTAATTTCAGTTGGTCTGTTCACATTCTTTCTCGAGGAGACAGATATATGTGAAATCCACAGGTTAAGACAGATCTCTTGAAATATATTGTACATATTTTTTGGTGTTTCCCACGATCACTTCAAACTCTTTTCCTCTTTCACCCCAGCTCGCCGTGGATTACGGACAACGTCGTGTCGATTGTCAGTCCGCCCTCTTCCGGCTTACCAAGCAGTTACTCATAGTTTTGTACAAACTATGCTATAACCACGATCATTCCATTCAACAATCTACCAAAGCCTCAACCGGTGATCAGCCTCCACGCAGCGCTGGCTCTGCGCATCTTCCACTGGATCGGCTCCTCTACTGTGTGACTCCACGTGAACTGGCCATCCTTCTTTCCGATATACGACGTAATCTAAGACTTCGAATGGCATTCGACTGGATTAAACAACGCAAACAGCTATCCGGCAATTCCACTGCTGAACAGCTGGTCGACGTGTATCTGACGGTGGACAACCTACCCCCTCCACCTGCATTTATCACTCCGGGACTTCTCTTAGCCGTGCTCCACGCGCATTTGATCGAACCCGGAGTTGCTGAGTTGCTTGGCCCACTGCTCAACTCCATGCACGTCCTTCATTCTGCTCCTGATTCGATCCGATCTGCGGAACTAATGAACGATCCGACCGTTTTAGAGGAAGTCGATGTCGATGGAGAATTGGTTGTGGTGTTGAACGATTGAAAAATGGCAGTTTTTTGTTAACCCTGAAAACCCTTATGCCTTGTATAGCTCCCATTTTTTGAGTTACTATAATCTCACTCACTGTTAAACTGGTCTTACACTTTTATCCGTATAAGATTTTGTTTTAAGAGAATTTGGTCAAAAGTGCAGACGCTCAGTTTAGTAGGTTAGCTCCATATGAAGGTTTTTTTCCGTCAGTGAATGAATCGCGAATTTGTGAATTTACCGACCGGCGAATGGTTGATCAATCGCGGCCTTCAGGACTAACGAGTTGTGGGCGCGCCGAGTTCCGAAATTCAACGGACTGAAATATTGTAACCATGGATTATCCTCTACGTCTGCAAGGGCCAGTGTAAAGCAGCGTTGAAATTGGACCGTGCTGTTTCAGTGTAAGCTTATAGGTGAGCATCCACGTATGACTTGCTGAATGGTACATGGTTAAGGTAGAAAGCAACCCACTCAACGGGAGCTTCAAATTGGTGGTGATCAAAAACATCGCGTGTGCCACTGCTTTTACAGCGGGGCCCGGTGACTTCGCAGAGTGCTTGTTGAAGTGAGCCACACATCTACGCGACAAATCAATATAGTTATATGGCCTTTGGTTTATTTAATCATCACGAGGTGTTTTTTTGAATGTCGTGTTCTACACTTATTTAATGTCTTTCCTTCTCAAATAGCCGTCAGAACCTGTGACTTATTCGACACCAATGGGATTAGTCGACAACTCGGAGTTTCTGTTGGTTTCTTTAGTTATGCCCTTATTTGTGACCATGCTTCGCATAGTTTTGTTGGAGAACTATTATATTTTGATATAGGGTTGCTTTCTCTGGACAAGGTGTTGTCTCCACTTTGCACCATTCGAAGTAGCCAGTAAGTCAGCTAAGTTAGAACTGGACACAATTTAATCGCTGTTTCCACAAACCAATCTATGAAAAGGTTCATCCGAGAGTCAAAGTGACACTCTGGTGCCAGAATGCACCCATTTAGTGACTTTTGCTTTCCATGTTAGCATCGACAGAAACTCACGTCACGTTGGCGCCTCGAGCTGTCGGAGTTTCGAGAAATGATCTCATCTCCAGCCAGTCCACCGGAACTTATACAGCTGTCCAGGTTAACAAGTTTACCTAGAGCATCGATTGGCTCATCCGTAAGCGTGAGGTTTGGGTTTGATCCCAGTCTTGTAGCAAAACTTCACACTTTGCACGTGTGAAGCACATGCGAATCCGTGTGGCAGAATTATTTAGCTTAATTATAATGGTTTGCATTTTTTGGAGGATCTAAACTAAGGAGAATAATAACGTCGGCATGCTCAGTTTCTGTGAGGGAACGTCCCTGGAGCGTTTCGACTCCCGAGGTTTTGGAGAGAAGCTTCAAGCAGTACATCAATAAAAAAGCTTACTAGAAGTGGCGAGACAGGGCAGCCGTGCCTTGCACCACTGGATATGGTGAACTCAAGCAAAAGCTTGCCATATACTCATACCCTCAGGATTTCGCACACTTCCCCCATAATGGATGTAGATTTGGAAGGGACGCCTGTGATTGCCAGACATCAAAGTGTCTGACAATCGATAGGGTCGAAAGCATAGTTCAGCTGAAGAAAAACAACAAACGTGGGACGTTTGAAGCGGTCATCATCATCATTGTCAGCTGTAAATGGATGTAGAGAAGGGACGCCTGTGATTGCCAGACATCAAAGTGTCTGACAATCGATAGGGGCGAAAGCATAGTTCAGCTGAAGAAAAACAAACAACGTGGGACGTTTGAAGCGGTCATCATCATCATTGTCAGCTGTAAAAACCGCGTACTGGTCGCACACTGGTTGTAGCTGCCACAGTTTCGTTCACCGATGATTGGGGGGGGGGGGAGGGAGCTGCGCATTGCACGCGCGAGCTGGGAAATTGGTGCATAAATCCAGCACTGTCAGTGGGCTATCAAGTGGGGGTTGGGGGTTGGAAAAGGAGCTATGCATTGAAGGCAATAGCTTTGATG